ACTGTCACGCCGCCCGCCCACGCGACGACATATGTGCGCATGTGGGCACTGGCTTCTACAATATTAACCAGAAATAAAATATTAATATATGTATATATATGTATATACTCGTCGGGGCCAGGGCTTGGGCCTGGAGCGATGTGGCCCAGAGTTGGTACAAGTTTGGAATGGACGTGGGTCGTTGGTTCAAATGATATGATACTTGTACTTGGGTTTCGGCGAGAATTGTATTGAAATCCATGCAAGTGGCCCCTGACCGAGTGTAATTGCGATCAAACAGCAGCACACTCCACCCAAACAACCGGTAGAATGCATCGGGGTCGTCGAATAACCTAGTTTGTGATATACATGTCCATATGAACAACGATATATATTGTCGAATAACCTAGTTAGTGAGATACATGTCCCTATGAGCAACGATATATTGAATAGAATAACTTAATTTGTGAGATACATGTCCATATGAAAAACGATATATTGAATAGAATAACCTAATTTGTGAGATACATGTCCATATGAACAACGATATATATTATCGGATAATCATTGGTACAACGCATGGTCGAAGCGGCTACTTTTATTTGTCATACAATTGAACAACTAGTACAAGAAGTCGGATTTTATAAATCTAGAATATCGTTCGATATGAACAATATATATAGAATAATATATAGTATCAAACAAGTCGTCGTACTATAAACAACAAAGTATATATAAAACAAGTCATCGTTCCATCTGAACAACGCCATATTGAATAGAATAATAGCAAGTCAACGCTCCTACATATAGAGTAGTACACCTCCATCCCATATGAATAACGATATAGATTGAATGACCGGAATCATGACATCAAATACATGGCATTTTGTATACACAAACACATTACTGTGGAGCATACTGTACACGCCCATATGAACAACGATATATCCATATAGATCGTAACGTACGGCCACAAGCCTTGTTGCACCAACGCCAACGCAGAATGGATGGCCACGGGGCCTCCACCCTCTTTTGTCAATTCTTGTCCATCCTTCGTAATCTGATGATGGGTATCATCACACCGGCGAAGCCACGAATCCACGTCAAAGTCGATTGTCTGAAATGTCCATAGTAGTAGAGTAAGTACTAGTAGTACTAGTAGTCCTGTAGTAGTACTAGTAGTCCTGTAGTAGCTTAGCTAGCTAGCTGGATAAAGAGGTACTATACCTGCTGGTTGTGACTGGTTCCTGGCTGGACAGTTGAATCATGTAGCTTTAGCACTGCCAAAAGCATCCGCACAATGTGTACACTGGCGACGGGAAGCGGGTACTGCTTGGAGTGGCCCAATACTCGCTGACCAATCAGCTGCGTCGCCAGCTCAGCATGTTCAACGGCAAAGTGCACCAGGCAGCGACCGACGAGGACGCCGCCGCCTCGCAGTTGGTCGGGCGAAGTCACGCCCGGGTACGAGTGCCGAAGCAACTTCCACAGCAACGCATGCTTGTTTTTGGTCAGATCCAACGCCTCGACTAACTCGAGCGAAATCCCAGAAATACGCCCCAGCTTGCGGGTCAACCGCTACAACCACGACTTGTGAATCCAGGGGTGGCTAGTATTACTACTAATAGTAGTACTAGTACCTCTCGACGGTCCACAAGGTCCCGTGTAATGTCCATCAACACATCCGAAGATGACGTGAGCAGCATGCGCACGACGTTGGCTTGCGCCTAGAAATAGAATAAAAATAAAATTATAAAAATAGATTAATACGTGAAAAAACATATCGCTACTACTTCTTTGTCACTATTTGACTGCTCGTAAGTAGTAGCAGCAATAATGGTGGTAATAGTACTAGTAATGAGCAATAGTAATAGTACTAGTAGTAATACTAGTTATGATTAGGTGATGTAGTACCGATAGCTCCGTGGCGGATGTGGTGGGCGCAAACAAGATGCGGCCAAAAATATCACTTAACGTGTCCACTGTCGTGCCCGACTGGGCTACGAATACAACACACACAAGTCATTTAAAAAAATATATATACCAGTAATTAGTATATAGACACGAAAATACCAGTAATTCGTTGATACACGTTGATACACGTTGTATATATATAATATATATATATTTATATAATGTCAATTTGGACTAATAGTATACACTTTCGAATGAATTCAGGACATGAGGCCAATACCATACTATTAGTACTATTAATAGGTGTATATTTAGAATGTCCTATCCAATCGAAGTACCGGAGCAATTTCAACCAATCATCGATCATTCAAGAAATTTCAACCAATCATCGATCATTCTAGTTTGGCCCAACCAACCAATCATAGCAAGTTCATCACATCCATATATTGTCAAGTCGATTCAAAATTGGAGTGCGGTGGGTGCTCAATCGAATGAGTAGCAGCAATCGATATATATCGACCAATCAAAACCCACAACACGAATCAAGTAGCCAATCAAATGATCATCCACTCCCATTCGACCAAATCTACATCGAATTAGTGTGCGACTTGAATTAGTGTGACTCAGGATCATCCCTCTTTACATAAAAAAGTCAGTATCGATATATTTGGCAAAGAATCCGCCGTACCGTGAATCACCCGAGTAAGCGTCGCACAAAGTCGCGCCAGAGTCGGCTTGACGCTCCAGTGCAGCTGGTTGAGCACATTCCGCAGCTCCGTCTGTGACACCGTCAGACAAGCCGCATGCAAGTGCGATGGGATGACGGGGTCCGGGAGGTCCCGCAGCCACTTGATGAGGATGATGATGCCGTGGTGGACGCTGCTCCACACACTCAATGTGCCCGTGCAATTCACTTGGCCAATCAGCTGCGCGAACCGTGCCTTGAGGATCTTGGATGCAAACAAAGCTATGACGAGTGAGTGGAGTGGACTGGGGGGGGGTGATCTGTTTAGGGGGCTCGTGTACTTATGGGGAAATATATATAGGTACATGACAATGGGAATTACTTAGGGCAAACAACAGATCGATACGAGTACACGACACTCAGAAATAGTACAAACGCACATGGTTGACAAGTCTGATTGGCTCAAAAGAATGAAGATTGCAATATTGTCAATTTGATAGTACAAATTTGGGGAGCGGGTGCAATCGAATCGACCAAACCGATCCACAATCGATCAGATTGGTTGTTGAATTTCATTGAGAAGGTTTTGATTGGCTAATAAGTTTGAGCTCATCTGAAGTAGCCAATCAAATCGATTTAAATTCCAACGAGAAACCACAACACAATGACATTTCACTCGAAAGCACAATATGATTCGCATAAACGATCGAATCTTGTCATGCGTGACAGAGATACCTCTTAGAACTAATTTTATATACGTTTTCGCAGGTCTGATGATGGTTCGTTGAATCATGAAAAAATCGTTTAAGTTGAAGTCATATATGGTGCAAAGGAACGATATATTTATAATATTTTTATATTATAAAGATAATCAATTGAATTTTGTAAACAGATAATACATTTCCAGTTTCATGAGCTTGAACTGGATGAGTTATATAGTATCCATAGCTACAGATACTATAACTTTGAACAGACACAAAATTACTTCAAATACCTACAGTACGGTAGTAGTCGTTTGTATATATACAAACGACTACTACCGTACGATAGGTATTTGAAGTAATTTTGTGTCTGTTCAAAGTTATAGTGTCTGTAGCTATTGACACTATAACTCATCAAGTTCAAGCTCATGAAACTATATATATATATATATATATATATAGGTAGGTGTGTACCTGGCGTGCAAGTGGCAGCGGCGGCGTCGATGAGCCGGCAGCAGCCTTCCACGAGGTTGGGTACACCCATCCGGCAGTCGAAGGGCGCCACATCACAGGTCGCCGCCGACGTCACGAGCGCCGCCATCGCCACGCCAAACAAAGCGTCACATGGTCCGAGTGGTCGTCGTCCGTCGTCATGTTCGTCCAGCGCGCGGGGACTGAGCACCGTGGGCGGCGTGTCTCGAAGAAGGTGATGCAGGGCCTGGGTGGTTGTGTCCAGTACATGGTTCAGCAGGTTGGCGTTTGGGTCGGTCGATGGTGTCGGGGTAACGCGCGCAATACTGTGGGTAGGGATCTGCGACAGCGTTTCTGCTTCTGCGACACTGTTTTTCACTACAACGTGGTCGTCGCTGGTAACGCAATCGTCTAAATGCGGCCGCTACAGTAGCGACATAACGTGGGGGTGAATCGAATACAAGGCAATCGATATTCGACCAATCAAAACCCAGGGAAAGAATCAATTGGCCAATCAAATCCATCATCACTCGTTGTTGACCAATGACTACTCAAACATACACTGTGGACGATCTTGACATACAAAAAGTCAGTACAACGAATTCGAGTTTTTCGCAAGTCCAAATAAATTGGGGTTATATGTACAGTACAATACAGCCATAACTAGTAGTGCGCTGTACATACTATGTAGTACTAGACTAGATACATACATCAATACTAAAGCCAAACTGAAGGCGATCTAACGTGGAAGTGAGTCCGACGAAGATTTCTCGCATGTCGACGTCGCAGCAGAGGGCGCCAGGGGCAAAGTATGTGCTCAACGCGGCTTGGTTATGGGGGTGCATCACCGCTACAAACAACAGTCAGGACTACAAATAACGTTCAACCTACGGGGAAACGGGAATGAATACTCGTGATTTAGGTACAATACAACAAGTATAGAGCGATATAGTAACAATGAAGCAAAGTATGTATCAATTCAATCCAAAACTCGCATTAGCGGAAATGTCTATGTATTTAAATTCAATAAAAATAAATTAAAATAAATAAAAACAAAATGTCTAAAAATGGACGATTGAAATGCCAAACAACGCGACGTTAGGTACACGACATGGACGATTAAAACATTGGACATGGGTAGGTATTAATTATATAACGTCAAATTGACTGCCTAAGCCAATCAAATCACACTATTTGTCGAATTTCTACCAATATAAACGTATACAAGTTGCTTTAGTTCGATGGTGGATTCGAATGCTACAGTATTAATATAGTTGGCGAAATGACCAAATTGAAGTGACATGCACAACCCAACGACGGACGATTCTGCGACACCGTTGTAGATGATATATATACAAGGTAATATTGTCCAGTCGATTCGAAGTTGGAGTGTTTGGGCGCTCAATCGAATGAGCAGCAAGAAATCGACCGAAAATCGATATATCGACCAATCAAAACCCAGATCACAAATCAAGTAGCCAATCAAATGATATCCACTCTTCGACCAAATCAACCACGAATTAGTGTGTGACTTGAATTAGTGTGACACTGGACGATCTTTATATAACGAATCAATCGATCGATAGATTTGGCTAAGAATCAGCCAAATTTTGAGTAAATGGACAATACCTGCCAAGCACGAGCTCAGGAGGTGGGTGTTGCAGCAATGCCGAATCCACGCGCGGACGCGGCCTTGCGGAGTGGTCACATGCAGCAGCGAATTGACGATCCGAATGGATGCGTTCAGGCCTGGGGTGAGCGGGTTGACGGAGTCGTCGATTTGGTTGTCGATGGTTGATGATGTGTTGACTTTGAGAGAGGAAATCTGCTGCAGTTCCTCCTTGAACATGTCCAGGTACCAGTCCTTGGACTGCTCCTTGGCGTGCACATGTTCCTGGCGTTGCTTCCACACGTGGTGCCGCTCCAATTGCGACATGTTTGTCCACTGCAGCAAACCCCACAAGCTCACCGTCTCGGTGGAGGACACGCGCTTGAGCCCGTGAGACAGGCATGCCTCAACCGCTGCGCACACAGAGCTGCCAGCATGCAGGTGCTGCTCGCCTTGGTTGTCCTCACTTTGTAGGAGCGCGTGGATGGATTCGCGCAGCTCGCCCAACTCTTTGCATCGCTGCATCGTGATTGAAAAATGCCAAAAGATCGAACTGCAATATCCGGATACCCAAAAAGACCAGCGCGAGGACGACATCCGGATACGAAACGACGCGATCTTTCGTTGGCTGGGAATTCGAGTCCCATATTTTGAAGCCAGTATAGACAGTAGGCTAACATGTGTAATACAATATCGCGTTCAAACCCCCAAGCCCCAACGACATACTGTCACAACGACAGTTTGCAACATAGTCACTTTCGTCCGAGCAGTTACGTCGGTTTCAACTTGCATCAAGTATTAAATACGAATATCCTTCCAACTCTACTTGCTGCTGTGGAGTGACCTCCACGTACGTTTGCCGGCATGCGACTACTTTGTACCGACGATTATGGATCGACTGGTAGCGCGGGCAGGAGTGCTGTACGCACCAATCAAGAAGCTCTCGTAGCCGCTGGAGTTGTACCCTGGCCAAAACAACTTGTTTTGGCCAACGACGGCTCGAGTAACTGCAGGAATCACTCAACGCCAAGCTCGGTCAAACTCGCAGGGGAGGAGGTGTGGACATGATGGCCCCCGACGCAGTCATCCTACGCAAGTCCTATGGTAGCCTCACGACCCATTCGAGACATCCGGAGCTCGTCACCCGTCGCCACCATCGCGGCGCAGTATATGTGGGTGGAGCGCCGCCGTTGGGTCCTAGCCCACACTGCACGGCAAGCGCAACGAAGCGCCAACAACTACACCGACAATGAGGCCGTGTATATGTGGGCGTGGCAGAGTTGCAGCCGGGGCGAGGGCGATGTGGCTAGCCTAGAGCCCAGAGATGGCCATGGCATTAACCTTGGAAGCCGACGTGTGCTAATTGGTCGAGGGTTTCCACTTGACCCGGTTCGACTTGTTGTGGCAAAAACCAAGCCGACGACAAAAACCATTTTGAATGCTGGTTGCTTTTACTTTTGCATTATGTGTATTCATAGACACAGTCTGGTTCTAAAACGCATACAAGTCGTCGTCGTCCAGAGCGGGTGTATTCTCGTCGCCGCCGTTGCCTTTGACATCATCGTCCCCCTTGACGTCGCTGTTCATTCTACTCGCCCCTTCAGCTTTGGCTTGGGCGTCCTTCTTCGGACTTGCCGTCCCCATCACCAACGGAGGGGCGTTCCAACTGGCAATATCGTCTTTCAACTGGACCTGGGGGGTGAGTTGGGCGAGTCCGAGGGGCTCCCCGCTGATGGGGCAGCGGTGTCCGTAGTCCTGAATCCACTTTTCAATCACACTGCGCTCAAACACGTGACCATACGGGGACTTGACTGGATCCACAAGCAATTTGTGTGTGATCGCGCATTTGAACTCGGCCGGCACCGCCTCCTCCTTGGACTGCTTTCGTTTGGACGACTTTTTCGGCTTGTGCGCTTTGCCCCCGTCTTTGACTTGATCCGCCTCGGCGGGGACGTGCAGTCGCTGCAATGCGGGCAAGTCCCCCAACAACGCAAAGTCCTCTTTGCGGCTCAATGGCCCCACCTTTACACCGCCCCCTCCGTCCGCTTCAGAAGAACGGGATGGACTGGTGCTGCTGTCGCCTTTGATTTTACCCGGACTACCACCTTTAGCCTTGGGGGGACTGCTGCTGTCGCCAGGATTCGAGTTGACAGCGTGGTTGTTGTTGGTGGTGGGGACTTGTGTGCGACTCGCCTTGTCGTCGTCGTTCGCGTGACTCGCCATGTCGTCCAGCATGGTTTTAATCTCGCACGAAATAGTCAAGTCGCTCGCTTTGGCTCCGCGATGTGTCTTGATCAACACGTCTGCACCGTACACGACGAGCATCCGCACCACGTCGCTGCGGTTGTGGTACGCGGCTTCGTGCAATGCTGTCCAGTGGATGGCGTTCGTGCCGTCCTTGTCCGCCCCATGGTCCAACAACAGCTACACCACCACCATAATAGACCATGAAAACAAGCTATAACGTTACACATATCGAAACAACAATGCACATGATAATTAAAAAACGCAAGTGCCTAAAGGCAAAGTCAGAGTGTATGTATGGTTGAACCTTGACTGTGTCCAAATGACCTTGACGCGCGGCTTCCCCCAGGGGGGTTTGACCAGGAAACGGACACAGCGCGAACTCTGGGCATGCCACGTCATGCTTGGCGCCTTGGAAATACCACAATGGGGGGTGGTGAGAACTCTTGGATTGGCCAATATATAACGACCCCCTCCCCCCGATGGATTGCTTGGGGGGTGGGGTTGAGTCTTTTCATGATTGTAACAGTACCAGCGCGCAAGAGCTCTTTGACGATCGACGTGTACCCGCGATGACAAGCTTCGTGAAGGGGCGACCAGTGCACGTCGTTCGTGACGTGGACGTCTGCACTGGCTTTGATCAGCTTGACCACCAATGCCTCCATGCCATACGCGCCTACTCTCATCAACCAAATGTCATCATCCGTTTCATTCGAATATATCTTCTTGGGTTCATCAAGCATAAAGACGATTTATACACAAGGCGACGCCCACACGAAAAACATAGGTGTGTCAAGACAGCCGCGTGCATACATGCAATGTGGAGAGGCGTGTAGCCGCTGGAGAACGACCCCGGGCCGCGACTAGTTTTGACGTTCAAGTCGGCCGACGGGTCTTGCGCCAAGATGGCTTTCAAGATGGCTTTGCCAGCGTCCACGGCGTTAAGTGTGTGGCAACTCGCATGTAACGGGGTCCACCCGTCCTTGTTGGGGGTGTTGATCGTGGCTAGGTCTAGAACCACCCGATCATCGCCGACATTCACGACCAGGTACTTGGACGTATCGTTCTCGTCAATGACGTCGTTGGCTCGGGGGGGGTCCTCGGCCTCGGGGGGCGGCGCGCCAGTCACTCGGTCGATCACGCCGGACGATCCATCCGCGTTGAACACGACGTACGTGGTACCTGCAAGCCGACGAGGTGAAGGGGGGGGGGTTAGTAGTGATGGATTGAGAGGAGCAAAAGAGAGGAGTTACCCCCCGGTTTGTACGTGCGAAACTTGGTTTTGCCCACGTGAAAGTCGTACAGCCGATACATGTCGGGAAATCGAACGTAGCGCGGGTCCAGGCCTTGAAACATGGCTTCGCCAATCAGCATCGTGCACGCAATCATCTGCGAGAGGTCGCCGTTGGTCGAGATGCCGCCGCCCATACTGATGTGTGAGGTCTCGAGGTTGAAGTGGTGGTGATCTGACGAGGATGGCTATTACAGCTGAGGCTGATGTCTTGTTCGCGAAGCGTCAGCCCACTTCGTGGTGCGAAAATGATTGCGAAACGGCTCCCAGTGGCCGTTACTTGAGGCGTATATAAATAGATACAATATTCGTTGACGAGGACCTCATTTCCAAACCTTAGATCGCTAAGATATTTCCATCTACTGTTGTAGTACTACTGGTAGTAAGTTACTAGCGAGCCAAGGTCACAGCACCAAAGGGGTGCGCTCCGTGTTCGCCGTTCACGACAGAGCAACCGTTGTATTGGTTTTCACAGTGGCAGTATACTAGTAGTAGTAATACGCAGTACTACTAATAGTAGTACTACTGACAGTGAAATAAGATATTATTTTTTGGGATTTCCATCGAAAAACACCCATGCTATTTTACGTATTTTTTCATGAAAACAAAAATTCCGAAGAAAATGTGGAAAAATATTCGAGCTTTCGTTCGACGTCGTTTCCGATCCATCGGGCACAAAAGATGAATGTCCGCACGTGTCGCCGCGTGGTCCAAGTGCTGACGCTCCTGAGCATGCTGGCGGGGTGTGCCATTGCATACTTTGGCATCATCGTGTCGTCGTCCTTGACGTCCACTGCCGACTCGTCCTCGTCTTCCGTGACGGCCGTGATGCTGGCCACGTTCGGCGTCGTGTACGTTGCAGTGAGCATGGTAGGGTTCTGCGGTGTGCTGGCCACCAAGGAGCGGCTCCAGTTCCTCATGATCTACTTCTACTCCACGCTCTTCATCTCCGTCGCGTTCATCGTGTTTGCGTACATGGCGCTCGTCGCGCCGTCGACCATGGCCACGTGGTTGAAGCTCCACTGGTCGGCCCTCCCGCTTCGCCATCACGCGTGCTGCCGCACCTTTGACGATGCCCACGCGTACGAGTTGCCATCATCTCAATGCGTTCTCTCTCATCCTTCTTTGCATTCCGAGTACAGGTTCATCTCTACGCGGTACGCCATGCTTGGCGCGTTAGGTCTCGCGAGCATCGTCGCGTTGGTCACGACTCTGTTGTGCATCATCAAGATCGCGTCCGTGCCAGTGGTCATGCGTCACATGCTGTCCGTCGTAAATGCCATGTTTGTGGTGGTAGCTACAGGTACCTACTACCTACCTACGTACCACAACTACACCGATGTTAGTGTTTCATTTTTGCATATAGTGGACATAAATCTATGTGTTTTATGCAAATATATATATATATATATTACGCATATATATATATATATATATATATTATGCATATATATATATTATGCATATATATATATTATGCATATATATATATTATGCATATATATATATTATGCATATATATATATTATGCATATATATTTCGTGATTCTCAGACATTTGTTTTGCAGCTGCGATCGCGTATGGGCTACATGCCAAGGAGTACGCCGTGCTGGACGGCGGATGGGACTGGATCGGTGAGTTTTCATGCTGGTCCGTATCTCGATCGGTTTCCCTCGCTTTAATGACCTTCACCCCTTGTATGTTTGTATAGCATGGCTGCTGGTGGCGGTAGGCATCACGCTGTTTGTGTTGGCAGGGTTTGGGCTCGCCGGCTCGCGAATGAAAAGTCGACCGCTGCTGCTTCTGGTGACTAGTATTACTAGTAGTAGTCTCGTGTGTCACATATCTGCTAGTAGTACTCGACAGGGCTGGTCATGACGCTGATCGTGCTGTGGGTGGGGGCCACGGGTGCCTTTTACTATGCCATATCGCAAGTAGCTCAAATTGGTCCCACTGGTGACGTGGCATGCTCTGGGGGGCTCTACAGGTGCTCCAATTGTACGACGCCCGCAATTCGTTGCCCAGGGGTGTATGAGTCTTCGCCAGGTACATACTATATAGCGGTATATTATATATATATATTCTGGATTATATATATATTCTGGATTCAGTACAAATTTCCAGACCTCGTCGAATCGAATCACGAATCGACGCTATGATTGGCTAATCCATTTTTGAGTGGATTATTTGATTGGCTCTTACAGAAAGGACAATTGTATATTCAACCAATGAAAACTCCGGCGTGATTCAATATTGAGTAGACAAACCACGCGAATGTTGGAATTTTAAAGCGAATTACAATATATATATTGTGAATGTGGAATATATATATATATTCCACCATATGATCAAAATCTCGTTTGAATACTCCTGTTGTCTCGTTAGGCCAGTGGACCACGGGTTGTGCGACGGTCACCTTGAACGATTCAATCGCATTTTGCGATTCAGCCAAGACGATGGTGTCCAACCCTGCCTCGCCGTTGGCTTTTGATGTAAGTCGAAATATATAATATATATTAATATATATATTAGGTGGTGCAATGTGGCTTGTGTCCCGAGTGGCGGGCGTCGGACGTACGAGCGTACATCGCGGCCAGTTTGCACTTGCTGGGTATCGTCGCCATCATGTTGTCGTGCTGTGTGGCGGTGGCGTTGGCGGGGGCGGTGGTGCTGCGCCGTAGCTTTGCCACGTATCAGACCGAGTCCATTTAATAAATGAGCGTCATCTATCGTACATAATATTCCAAGAGATTATTTACAACCCATAATATCTCGTTTTTATATTTTAATACTAGGAGTATTTTTTAGCTTTTGTAATGCGCCTTAATGTCAACGTCTGATGTGCATCTATCTCGTTATGCTAGTACTATATTACTAGTATTCGTCACGTTCACTACTAGTAGTACTCAATGCACGTTACTACTAGTACGTCCACGACCGTAAGCGTACTGAACTAAAGTTGGTCTACTATTAATGCACTGTATATCTCGTCAGGTTCGGTTACTACAGCTGTAGTACGTAGCGTTATTCGAGTTAAATCAATACATGATGATATTGTCGATTTGATACAAATTTCGAGAGGGGGTGCAATCGAATCGCGCCAACCAAACCGATCCACAATCGATCTGATTGGTTGAATTTTATTTAGACGGTTTTGATTGGCTAATAATTTTGAGCTCATCTGAAGTAGCCAATCAATCGATTTAAATTCCAACGAGAAACCACAACACAATGAAATTTCACTCGAAAGCACAATACTACTACAGGAGGCTGCGGGAACAGGCGATAGTTAGTAGCAACGAGAATTCCATGAACGTTGCCAACACAACATAATGTTCCATCACGCTTCAAGTATATCTAGAAGCATCTATCACTGGGATCGGCGCGGTTTGTCGTCTGACGTCGCCGAAGCATCTTTGTTGCTGTCCACCGAACGCCGCACCTCGTTGTCCAGCTCGTCGACGTCGAACATTTCGACAATTCGGCGGTTTCGTACTTTCTCGCACAAACACAGTTAATTTTTTACATGACATTTCAAAGTTATATTATTACATTATAACTTAACAAAGTTAGCCTAAGTTAACGTTAACTTTGTCATATTGTCGATTTTCTTCAAATTTCCCAATTTTGCATGGTTCGTTCAATCGAGCACAAATCAGAGACATCTGATTGGCCATTATCCACTTCGCCCTTTCCAGTAGAAACTCGAAAATGGATTGTAGCCAATCAGCGACAAGTAATTTCGGATTGACCAATGGGAGAGATTGGTGCTCGATTCGCTCGGCGAGATTCGATTGAACGGGGTCCGGAAATTCATACCGAATCTCCAATAATTTATTACAAACATTTTTAACAATCCGAGAAAGTACATGACTTCGACTAACGATTTCTTAGCAATGGTTGGGCGATAAGCCATAAACTTTCGCGTGCAAGT